GCGGGACATTTGCAAGGACCTGCACCGTCTTATATGCAGAGATGATACGCGTTGTTATCGATCTCTGCGCCGACAGTATCTTTTCACAGATGGTAACACATCTTTTACTCCTCAGGGATGGGGCCCACGCTGGTGCTGCGTAGAGCATTTTACATGGGCAACACTCGCCACCAGTCTTCTTTTTTGTTCACGGGGTCCGCCTACGTTTGGCATTAACCGTGAAAGATTAGCCGCACACTCGATCGCCTTATTTGCCGCCGTAGCCATGTGGTGGTGGAAGTTTAACCTTCCATCCAACTCCACACCAAGATATTTAATATGCTTACTCCACTTGACCTCGAATCCGTCTATCACGATTCGTGGGAGCTCATAACTACGTCTGTCTGTGACCAGCAGTGCCTCGGTCTTTTCCAGGGCCATTTCAAGACCTCTGGTATCCAGCCAGCTTTTTGCTAGTCGCAGACATTCGTTCACCAATGTCCCAAGAGCCTCCTCACTTTTGGCAGTGCACACGAACAACGCGTCGTCCGCAAAGCCGATGATCACCGCACCTTCGGGCAGATCCATTCGCAGAAAATCATCGTAAGATACATTCCATACAAATGCACCCACCCTCGAGCCTTGAGGAGTCCCACGCTGCATCTCTTCCCTGAGAGTGCAGGTGTCTCCCTCATACATAACCCATCTGTCGCTAAGATAATTATCCATTATCCGCAACATGTAGGGCGGCATGATTTTCTTTTTCATCGACTCGATGAGATCTTTCCATCTTGCGGAATTAAACGCGTTGCGTATGCCAATTGCTACCAACGCGCAGAAGCTCTTCTTTTTTCCAGGTCCTAATTTGTTTTTTCCTGCTTTGGCTATGTCCACAACTGCCTGGATGGCATCAACTGTGGACTTGCCTTTACGGAAACCAAATTGGTGATCGGATAGACGATTTTCTTCGGTCAAGTGGCTTTGCATTCTCTGCAGAACCATATCCTCTAGAAGTTTACCCATCGTATCTAGCAGGCATATAGGACTGTACGATAAAACCTTATCTAGAGGTTTTTCACCTTTCCTCAGGAGGACTAACCTCTGTCGCTTCCAGTCGCGGAAGAACTCTCCTCTCTCAAGGCAAAGATTGAAGCATCGAAGCAGAATCTGGGGTGAAGTGTCGATTACCAACTTAAGGATCTCGTTACTTATCCCATCGATTCCAGGCGCCTTGCCTGTTTTCAATCTTTTGCCTGCTTTTTGCAGTTCACTAAGTGTGAAGAGTTCTTCCTCTTCGACTTTGCAAAAACTCCAGTTTCTTCTAAGGTATGGTTCCGCAGGAGGAAACAAAGAATTTATTATCTTTCTGACCCAATCGGGATTGTCCAGGCCGGGGGTCTTTTGCCTTGTCGCTAATCTCTTAGTAACGATTTTAAAAGCCAGACCCCATGGGTCCTTATCGACTTCCTCGATTAGGTCCTTTCAGCTACGGCGTCGCGACTTGTGGATCTCTTTCTTGAGGTCCTTTTTCGCCCCCTTGAAAGCCTCTTTCAGCGAGGGATCTCCCTTAGATCGGGTATATGTCCTTCTTGCTTTGAGGCATTCCTTTCTCAAGGAGGCTAGCTCCTCTGACCACCAGTGCAAGGATTTTCTTACGGGAGTGGCGCCTTTGCGTGGCATTGACGCATTGCAAGCAGTGACTATCATGTTCCTCACCACTCGCACCTCCCCATCCAGACTGCTCGGCCTCTTCACCCAGCCCAAGTCCTCAATTAAAAGGGCTTCTCTTGGGGACCAGCCGAACTTTTCCTTGTCGAGTCTCTTTATATTCCACGAGGAGGTTTTGCGACTAGGAACATCCTGTCTTTTTCCTCCTCGCGTGTCTCCCATCGAGACTAAGAACTCAATGTACTGGTGGTCACTTGCGGTATATTCCTCAGAGACCCCCCAGTCGCTTATGCGGCTAAATAGTTTAGACGATGCGATCGTTAGATCTATAATTGATCCGATCGCACCTCGTCTAAAAGTCCATGTATTGCCCCGGTTTACAACTAATAAATCGTTCTTGGAGATCATTTCTCCAATCAGAATTCCTCTCTTGTCGAGCCTCGTCTTACCCCACTCTGGCGACTTTGCATTAAAATCGCCAGTGATGATGACATCCAGCTTGGATTATGTGAGGCTCGATTCTAGGTCTTCTATATTGGCTTCGAAGGTGGTCAGCGGGTCGTTGGGTGAGAAGTAGCAGCTATACATACGTATATTAGTCACCTCTATCCACACAAACCCGCTGCTTGTCTCCAAGAACTTGTCAACCCGCAATTCTGGGTTGCACAGCTTGATGGCGGCTCTCTTTGCCTTATCCTGATACCAAGGTGCAAGGTCGCTTTCTTGATGCTGCTCACTGCAGAACAGGATATCGACCTCATTTTCCCTAGCTGTTTGCATCAGGAGCACCTGTGCATCCTTACTTGTATGCAGGTTGATTTGAAGGAGCTATAGGTATTTGCCCTTTTAAGTTTCTCCAGTTCCTCCTTGTAAACCGGGCAGGAAATTCTTCCAGGGATATGGTTGACTTCCGTTTTTCCCAAATCTGTACACGTAATGCACTTTGGCTTGTCGCTAGTACAATTCTTGGCGAAATGTCCCGCTTCGCCGCATCTCCGACAGTTTTTTGTTCTGTCGGGGCCCTTGCAAATTCGGGTCACGTGTCCATAGGCTAGGCACTTTTGACATCTTGTCACTTCTACACTGAAAAACTGTTGGTAAAGCTGCTCGCCTAATGCGTGGAACTGCTGCGTTAAAGAGAAACGCGCAGCTCACTTTACCTTTAGGAGAGCAACTCTCCTTTTTAATCGAGTTGCCGCACTTTAGATCGCGTAGCCTCTAACCCAAAGGCATTGGTCAGCTGTTTACCTGTTCATGACAATTATAGATAAGTTTTTAATTGAAAATAAACTGTTTCATCTTCGAGAACTTTTTACATGTGAGTATTTATTAATTATATATTATACTATATGATGTTGACTGTTTTTCAAAAACCTAACCTATATATAAATTCATTTGCTTGCGCTTTATGTTATTCTGTGTATTGCTTTCTATTTTCTTTTGCATTTAATTAATAATTTTTAATTTACTAATTTTTTTTAATTAAACAATAAATGTTAATAAGTTAATCGATGTTTAGCAAACGGTGTGAGAGATGAAGATTTTTTCTCGATGACAGATGATCAAATTTCGGTAATTTTAAATGGTTGTCAAGATTTTGTCACGTTCATTTCAAAGTTTTATTATCAAAAAGGTATTTTGGGTGTTGAAAAAAACAATGTCAAAGCTATGGAAGTAGAAATTATAGAGTCTTCTCTTGATTATTCTAATTTATCTCAGAATGTTGAAAATATATCTCAAAATTTTCAAACAGAGGAAATTATCGAAGGTTTGGAAGTTTCTATTATAATAGAAAAAAATACTAAAGAGGATATTTTAATATATGAAATATTAATATTTACTAATATATTTAAAATAATATTTTCGTGACCAGTTTATGAAAAAATGTTTATATTTTCAGATGTTTTTCAATTCAAAGAAAACGAGCTTTTTCATTTATTAAATAACACTTTGCAGGGCAGAATTATTTTGGGAAAGTTTAAATTGAAAAAAGAATTAGATATTCACAAACTCAAAGATTTAATAATTCTGGATAAGCTAGAGCATAGCTCTAATTTCAAGTGAGTGTTTTTAGCAAAGTAAAATTCTAGCAGAGAAACAGAGAATTAAATTAAAGAATTTTACATGTTCATAGATTTAAATTATTCATATTTAGTGAATTAGAAAATGTTTATATTGTATTTATTTACAGATATTTATTCAAATATTATTTATATTTAAAATTGAATTTAAAAAGTGTTATATTTGTTGCTTTTATTTTTAATGAAAGGTAAATATGTTATTTTATGTAATGTAATTGATGTGTTGTTTGTAATGATGTTGGTAATTGTAATGTTATTAAAATTTGCATGTTTATGCTATTCTATTGCATTTAATCTAAATTATTTTCTGTGTTTAAATATGTATTGTTAAAAAGGGTTATATTTCTAACTTTATTTTTTAAAAAGTGAAGTATAGATTGTCGTCCAGTATTAAAGTCGTATAAAATTTCTTTGTAAAATGTACTGTTTCACGGAATTTTAGATTCATTATTTTATAATTTTTTGAAGGTTAAAAGAAGAAGATTTTGTTCAATTAAGAAAAGAAATAGTGGAATTATTCCCTACGGAGGATGAAGATTTCTTTTTTACAAATCATTACAAAAAAGAAAATAACGAGGTTGTAGGTGCGCGTGGGTGTCTTTATAATCATTACAAATTTATAAGAAAGCAACTGAAAGATGCTGGTATTTTGATAATTGACACGCAAGAAGAAAATAACTTTTCAAATTGAAATTTGTCGCACAGGTTATTTAAAATTAAATTTTTTTAATATATCCATAAATCTAGATTACTACGGTGTCTAGCAATCCGAAAAGTCAGGAAACTTTTAAAATTGACAAAAAAAAAAAATTTCTAAGTTTAAAATTTTTTACTGAGTTAGAGAATTTTTTTTAGATTTTTTGGATATCCTCATCATGATTAAATTTATTTTAAACTTCTTTTTAACATTAAAATTCTGTTATAATATTTATATTTATAACTGCTTGACGGATCCGAACAAACAATATTCTGCAAATGAAGTACTTCTCAGATGGTCCGAGTCGTTTTCTGACAGACAAAGTCTTTTAAAACGTTTAAAAAATAAAAAGGATTCAGTGGAAATTTACCTGAGAAGTTTCCTTGCTTAACTTCTCAGTTAGGAATTACATTGGTAGATATTTTATTAAGTAGTATTAGCAAGTTTGTATAGTTCGCCTATACAATTCTTTTAATGTTTGACTTGTTTTATACTAAACATTACATAATTAAACATTTTTTTTATTATCTAGTTGGAGTCAGACTTTAATAGAATTATTGTGGATTATCCTTCAAAAGTCGAATTCGACAATCGCTCGTCAATTTTCTGCGATTCATGGCCATTATTGTCGACAAAAATTATCAACTACTTTAAAAATTCAAGGATAAAGGATGTAAAGGAATTTTTTTCAGTTAACAAGAATCTTCCAGAAAAGGGTATTTATTAAATTTAAAATAAAAATTTCAATTTCTCTATCATGTTGCGTATTCTGTTAAAATTATTGAATTAATACATTGTCATTATTATTATCATCACTCAATTATACAAATATCGAATGAATAATTAATAATTTGTTTCAGAAAATAATAAAAGTGTACTCGCGTTATTTTTGTTGCCACTGTGTGTCACAATTTACAAAAATTTAAAAGAAGAAGATCCTAAGGATAAATCTTCACAAGCAGGAAAAAAGTCCAAGCAGAGTCCAAAAGAAAAAGCTAAGACGATTCCGATTTCAAAGACGGATATTTCAAAGTCCTTTATTCTACATGTTCAGGTATGATAAAATTATTGCAGTAAATTAATAAATAATAATAATAATAATAATAATAATAATAATAATAATAATAATAATAATAATAATAATAATAGTATTAAAGAAATATAATAGTAACCAGAAATATTTTTAATCTTCTACTGCAGGACCTGGCAAATTTAGATAAGGAACCGCAGGAACATGAAAATTGGTTACAATTAAACAGCAGTCTGGGTCTACCCTATGTCATTTTTTGCGGACAATTAAACAGCATTTACATTGCTTACGTTGTCTTGTATAAGGAAAGATTTTTGTTTGACAATCCTCTTAAAGCAGTCGAGGCCTGCTTCAAATGTTTAACCGCTTTGCAAAAATGACCATATACTTGTGATTACGTGTGGACTTTTATTCAGAGCGCAGTATACCAATTTGAACCTCAAAAAAGTTTCTTGGCTATTACAAAACTAATCGTTGAATTAAAAAAAATATAGTTCTACATTCTACATCGTTTGTAATCAGTTCACATTTTATTTTAGTTTTTTTTAAAAGAAATTATATTTAATATTTTTAATTTGATGTATTAAAAGTAATTGTACCAATTTTTAAGTCATAATGGATAGTAAAACTATTTTCAATTCTATTTTATCATTCATTCTCGTTTTGTATGGAGATCCTAATCTTCCTCGTAAGGTAGTTCAAGATGTTGTTACTTTTTTCCATGACTTTATTGAAAACATATTTTTACGTTCATTGAAAAATGAAGTTGTAAAAATTTTAAAAGAAAATCATGTATCGAATAACTTAGTACTTGAGGTAGAATCTGTTTTTAAGAATCACAGCACCGTTTTTGAAGATGTTTTAACAGAAAAAAGAAGGTTCAAAATATTAAGAAAAAAGGGATTTACTGATCCCGAACAATTTTCCATTGGCAAAACATTCGTAAGTAAAATCGTAAGAAACGAATTAAAGTTTGTACCGGAATTTTTGTATGGAATTCATATTCCTTTACGAAATACCTTAAAACAGTTTCTAGAAATACCAGGGATTTTTAATCAAATATTGGAGTACATTGCTGAACTGCGTAAAGAAACCCACATTATATCTAATATAATGCAGGGTGATCTCTGGAAAAGGAAATATTCAAATGTTACTGATTGCATAATTTTACCTCTTTTTCTATTCTACGATGATTTGGAAACCGGAAACCCTCTAGGCAGTCATTCTGGAATAAACAAATTTGGTGCTATGTATGCTTTTATTGCTTGTCTTCCTCCCAATCTTGCTTCAAAATTAACGTCAATATTTCTAACAACTCTAGTCCATTCCGCTGATAAAGCTAACAGCACAAATGAGGAAGTATTTAGAAAAATCATTGAAGAAATAAATTTTTTACAAACCGAAGGGATTCAAATCATCGTAGATGGAATTGTGCGACGCGTGAAATTCCGATTGACCACAAATTATTATTATTATTATTATTATTATTATTTTTTTGTTTTACGAGGGAAGTTGGAAATCTGCTCATTATCAGATACCTCATGGCCCGTACCATGAGGTTATGTGGGGATGAACTCTGAGCCACTACAAAGTGTAGCTTCAGCTAAAACAAGTTAGCCTAAGGCTCTGTCGACCCACTAAAACCAACTCCCCATTACCAGGACTCTATTTCCACTTGCGGAACTACCTAATGGCTTTACTTCGCAAGTGGAAGTCCTCTCTCTTACTCCTCTCTGTCCATTGTTAAAAACCAATCTTTCCATTAACCACCGGGAGTGGGAGGAGGAACGAGAATTAGTTCCTCCTCCCCCTCCCGCGAATCGTCCCCAGTGATCACTCCAGGTCAACCTTTTCTTCCGTCCACATCTTTTGTCTTCATTACCGAGGTAATGAAGAACTCGATGTGGCGCCAAGAGTCCGCGCTTTGGAGCATAGTTGAGACCATGTCATCAGCAGTGAATTGAGTTTTCACCGCGTCAAACATGGCCCGCCTTAGCTCACTCCATTGCCCGCAGGAGAAGAGAGTGTGTTCCGCGTCGTCTATTTCAGCGCCGCAATACACACATTTCGCCTCCTCTCTGATCTTAAATCTATTAAGGTACTGACCGAAGCAGCCGTGACCAGTCCTGCGCTCTACACACCAGAAGTTCGTCATCCGCAAAGGCTTTCAGGATCGTGTCTTCGGGCAGCTTCATTCTCAGGAGATCGTCGTACATGACGTTCCATATGAATGGACCCACCTTAGACCCCTGTGGTGCCCCGCAGGTCATCTCTTCCTTGAGATGGAACACATTGCCTTCGTACATGACCCATCTGTCACTGAGATAGTTGTCTATCATTCGCAACAGATAAGTCGGCACTCCTTTGCGTCTCATTGACTCAATGCAGATGTCCCATCTCGCGGAATTGAACGCATTCCGGATGTCGATGGAAACAAGAGCACAGAAACCCTTCCTCTTCCCCTGATTGACTTCCTTTGCCAGTTTCACAACAGAGAGTATTGCATCAACTGTTGACCGGCCTTTCCGGAAGCCAGACTGGTTTTCTGATAGGCTATTTTCGCCTACCAGGATTCTCTGTAGTTTTTCTAGAACCATCCCCTCTAGAAGTTTGCCCATCGTGTCCAATAAACAAATTGGTCTGAACGATGAGACTTTATCCAGAGGTTTATCGCCTTTCCTAAGGAGGACCAACTTCTGCACTTTCCAGTCACTGAGGAACTCTCCGGCTTTTAAACACGCATTAAAGACGTTGAGAAGCAACTCTGGGTATACCGCGACGACCTCTTTTAGGATCTCGCTTGGTATTCCATCCCTGCCTGGCGCCTTGCCATTTTTCAACGCCCTTGACGCCTTTTTTAGTTCTTCAAGCGTGAAGAGCTCCTCCATCTGTACTACGCAAGTATAGTCCTCCCTGGGGCTCGGTTCCACATGGGGAAACAGCGCTCTTATGATTTTTTGGACCCAAATCGGATTGCTTAGACCAGGGGTTTTTTGTCTTGAAACTAATTTCTTAGTAACAATTTTAAACGCCAAACCCCATGGATCATTCTCGGTCTTACCGATTAGGTCTTTCCAGCACTTTCGTTAGCTACTCCTCATAGCCCGCTTGAAGATTCGCCTGGCTTTATGCCAATCTTCTTACAGCGTGAGGTCTCCCTTCGAGTGGGTATATTTCCTCCTCGCTGCATTGCACTCTCTCCTTAAGCGGGCTAATTCATCGCTCCACCAGTACAGAGCACCCTTCCTAGCTTTTGTTTGGCGCCGGCGAGGCATGGCTCTGAAGTTGTTTCATCGAGTTCCCGAATATCGAGGGTCTTTTTATTGACAAGAGCCGTAACCTCGGCCTTGTCCTGAAGGACGGAGGTAAGTTTCTCAGCGAACTTTGAAGTTTCACCCCCCTTTTTGACCACAAATTATTATTATTATTATTATTATTATTATTATTATTATTATTATTATTATTATTATTATTATTATTATTATTATTATTGTTAGTTGTTTATTATTGTTAGCTCTTGTTCTGGTCTACCCACTAAAAACCACTCCCGTCTTAATTTGGGACACTTGATCCACCCGCGGAACCACCGTCAGGCCTTCAACCTCGCAAATGGTGGTCCCCTTGTCCTACTCCTTAACTGGGCCTTAATCCGCTCTAGCTTTGTGGGAACGTAGGTGGGAGGAAAACTAAATGATTTCCTCCCCCCCCACACTCACACACAGCTGAGCACTGGACTCCTCCGGTCAACATCGTCTTCCGTCTCTTGCCGCTCTTGTTCTGGCATTATTTCCTCCTTGTCCTTGACAAAGTCTTCTTTGCTTCCTCGAGGGCAGTTCTGAAGACCTTGCAACCTCCTGATCCGGCGACATGCTGGATATTCTCCTTCTCGCCGAACTTTGCCTGGCATAAGAAGCAGCATGGGCTCTTCTTACAATCTGTTGCCTTATGGCCAGCTTCTCTGCACTTGAAGCACGCAGCTGACCTATCTGCACCTTGACAATCTCTACCTAGATGGCCATAGTCAAGGCACTTTTGACACCTTGTGACCATAGTTCTGCTTCTTACCTTGCAAGAGACGAACCCAATCTTTATGTGCCCAATTTTCTCCAGCTTATCAGCGTCTTCCTGATTGGTGACCACGACAGCCAGCTTTACTCCTCGCTTGTTTGGTCCTAGAACCGTCACCTTCCTACTTCCTGCTGGTACCGTAGAAATTTTCTCCAGGGCACACAGTACATCATCTTTTTCTGTAAGGGCATTCATATCGCGGATTTCCAACGTAGTTCGCCGGTCCGCCATCTGCACCTTACCCAGATCGCCGATCACCTTTGTCACCTCTTCGGTGAACAACTTCTTGTTTGAAGACCCCCCAATTTTAATGAGCAGGTCTCCCTTTTTAGTGGGTGAAGCTCCCACAACCCCTGTCTGACTGGCCTCCAGGTCAGCCTCTTTTCGAACTTTCGCCAGCACTTCGGCGAAGGTAGCTCCTTCAGCCACTTTGACGATCACTGTGGCTCTTCCTTTCTTAACTAGATTTGGCTTTGGTGCCGGTTTGGTCTCGTTACCTTTAGACCTTCTAGAAGGTCCCTCCTTCCTCTTCTTTTTTGGGTCCTTCGTACTCTCAGGATCACTTCTCTTCCGCTTCTGAGACTCCAGGACAAAGTTTTTAAGCATTACTGCATTAAAACGGTCACGTCTCATTCTTCGGTCCTTTCGTGCATCCTCTGACCAGGCTAACCCCTGGTAGAACTTCTTATCTTTTCTGGACGCAGCTGCGTGCTTCTCCTTCACATACCGTATGAGCGATGTTGTGCTTCTAAGTCCATCCTTAATTGTCCTATTGACATTCTTCTGGACTTCGCAGGACTTCAGCATCTTGCTGACCTCTTCTTCAATTTCTAGAATGCTTGCTGCCTCTTCCGCCCGCAGCTTCACGCATTCATATCGATGTTCATTGCAGCTAGCAATGTCAATCGCAGAAGCATTACTGAATACAGAAATGCAGCTGGCTTGACTCGTCACGCTGCTCGTACTTCCTCGTCTCTCCGCCCTGTCCACGATGATCTGTGGCACTCCCAACGCGTTGTTGCCCTCCTGCATCCTTGGGCCACTGGCCACCGTCCCCACGCTATGCGCTTGACGATCGGAACCAGTGAGGGATTTAGCCGTAGCATTACCCCGCAGGTACTCTTTCTCGTTTTTGCAATCGCTCATGATGGATGTTTCTTGTTTACTGGTTTTGGTTTGCGTCGAGTATTTGATTTCCTCGATACCACCTATTTCTAGGAAGCTAACCTATCCGCCACCTGGCACGCGTCCGATATAGGACGAGCAACCCC